AGTGTTGTTGGTGTAGATGAATAGCTGCAGTGTGGTGATGCTTTAAAACAGGAAGCTTCTCTCTTCCAGCAATTGCCAGTGGTCACTTCCAGTATTATCGTGAGATGCCGTTCCTGCCGGACCTACATTAACCCTTTTGTCAGCTTTCTAGACCAAAGGAGGTGGAAATGCAATTTGTGCTATAGAGTGAATGATGGTAGGTTTTAAATGTGCTTATTGATTTAAAGGGTTACAGTTCACCTTTCCCACCTTGGCCTTTGAGACTGTTACTTGTTGGCCAAGTCAGTGCTGGGGTTGTTGGAGTCCTGCTGGGGCTGTGAGTCCTGAGAAGTGTTTCCCAATGGCAGTGGTGTCACTAGAGAAGCACAGTAAGCCCAAGTGGTCCCCCAGAGTATCCTTTCAGGTGACAAAATAGCTGCCCTGCCTAGTGTAGTTCTCCAAGAAGTGTTGCCCAACAGCTACAAAAGATATATGTGTTTTAAAATGCAGCACAGCCAGTACCAGTGTGAAATACTAACATATAAACTTACCTGCATAGTTCCCGAAGAATTCCTGTATAATCCCGTGACAAGAGTTTATGGAGAACCTCATAAAAGACCCGAAGTCCAGAATGCTACTATTGAGTTTATGGCTCCATCTGAATACATGGTAAGGCTTTATTTATTTTTAGTTACTTTTAGTTAGTCTCTCCCTTTGCTTTGTTTTCAGAGGGAAGTCAGAAAAAACTTTGTTACAGAAGATGCTTTCCAGCTCAGTAGAACAGTTTTTGCTTCAAGTAGTGTATTAGAGAACTCTTAGGGTGAACTTCAGATAGTTCACTTCTAAACATTTATGATGTCAGAGTTGTTCTGTATTTAAATATGTAGGTATTTGTAGGTCTTCTGGAAGAAAACTGGAATTCTGTATTACCAAATGAGAGGCAGATGCATTCAGAAGTTCTAGCTGTCATCTGTGTGCTGTTTTAAGAGTTTAAACTTGCAGTGGAATGAACAAACCTAACGTAGTGAGTGTTATTTGAAAATTAAAGGTCATCTTTTCTTTGCTCAGCTGCGTCCACCTCAGCCACCCGTGTACCTCTTTGTGTTTGATGTCTCTCACAATGCAATTGAGACAGGATACTTGAATACAGTCTGCCAGACCTTGTTAGACAATCTTGACTTGTAAGTACTTTTTTTCTTAAAATCTCCTATTTTCATTCCTCTTAAGAAATTTGTAATAGACACCAACATGCCAGTCCTTCCTGTCTAGAAGAGATATATCCTGGTGTTGGCCAGTGGTGTGTTAAAATGGACCATAAAGCTGCAGTCTTTTTTCCCATCACAGCTGCACCAGTATAAAAGATAATTCTGAGGTGTGTTTTTCAGTCTGACTCTCCTATCTGCTTCAGCAATCCCCAAAAGAATATAAACGTCATGTTTATGAGATCTTTTGAACTGTATTTTTTAAAAGCTGAAATTTAGATAAGCATTTGCTGAAAGAAGTCATACAGCTAATAAACTTTTCATAAAATACATGCTCTTTGAACATATCTAAATGCTGCTTGGTATTTTGCAGTTTATTTCTCCCTTTTCCATTTCTGATTGCCCTCTTAAGGTTCCTGCATGTCTGCTAGGTGACTCTGCTATGAGCTACTTTTTTGTTGTTTGGTTTTTTTTTTAATCTCCACAATGACTTAGTCAAGCTTTTGCAGTGTAGCTGTGAAGCTACTTTGTAATAACCATGGAGAGATGCAGTGGATGTTTAAAAATAAAAAAAAAGCCTGCAGAAATGAAATTTCATCTTGTTGAACACCATATGTCTCATTTTCAGGCTTCCTGGGAACACTAGAACAAAAATAGGCTTCATAACATTTGACAGCACAATCCATTTCTACAGCCTTCAGGAAGGTCTCTCTCAGCCTCAGATGCTTATAGTTTCAGATATTGAAGGTATGCAGAAATAAATTCTGTGATTAGTATCTACTAATGACTGCCTGTTATGACAGCCTTTAAAAATATGTATATCTTGTGAGAGTTTGTAGGTCAGATCATTAATCTCTCTGGTAATGCCTTTAGGAGTAGCACATGTGTGTGTTCCTTTATGAAGTCATCTCCCTGATGTCTCCCTGAGCAGTGCTGGGGCTGCTCATGACTTGAAACGTGCAGCCAGCCTTCCTAACTCCTGGTTTAATTTGGACAATTATCTGGATTCCTCTTGAGGTCCCAAATACTGATGCTGGGTACATTTCTATAGATTTCCTGGTGACTGGTGCTTAGTGCTTGTCCTGCTGCCTTTCGTTTCGAGTCACCTTTCAGCATGTTGTGGGGCAGGGTGGAATGAACACTGGAATTATTTGCTCTGTGGTTTTACTTAATAGTCTTGATTATCCTTCAGCCCAGTTGATTGCTACTCTAACACAGCATTCTAGCCACAGGAATGTTTATGAGAAAAAAAAAGAAATCCACATAATTATGTTTACATGGGTTTATACACTGACACCTTGTGCTTTATTCAATGGTTGGCAAATACAGTCAGGGAAGTGTTCTTTAAAGATAACTGAAATACTTTTTTTTCCCTTCCAGATGTATTTATACCAATGCCAGAAAACTTATTAGTAAATTTAAATGAAAATAAAGAGGTAAGAGCTAAGAACTATCTTAAGTAACTAGTGACATAGTTTGGGATATGTTTGGTAATTCTTGGATTACTTAATGCTCTTGAACACCTACTGTTCAAATGCCAGGTTTGAGACAGAAAAGAGAGGTTTTATCTGTGTGACTGTAAACTTTGGCCAACTTCAAACAAGGCAGTACTTCAATTTTCTAGGACTTTTTCTTTACTACCTTAATATTAGAAGTGTTAATACACAGTTAGGTAGTTCAGCAATCAGCTCTAGAAAGAAGAAAACTCTAAAGACTCCAAAACTTAATATTTGTGTTTCCTCACTTGTAGCTAATTCAAGATCTGTTGAAGACCTTGCCACAGATGTTTACCAAGTCCCTGGAAACTCAGAGTGCTCTGGGGCCTGCATTACAGGCTGCCTTTAAACTGATGTCCCCCACTGGAGGTAGAATCACTGTCTTCCAGACACAGCTTCCCACTGTGGGAATGGGAGCACTGAAGCCACGAGAAGAGCCAAACCAAAGAGCAACTGCAAAGGTTAGGAAGGCAAAAAAGGTTGAGGGAACTGGCAGCCCTGTTCTGTGCATGTGGGTGGTTCTGGGATTGCCTGTTCCAGGTTAATTTTGTGGTTTTCTTGGTAGAAAGAACAAAAAAGCCAACGAGGCAATATAAACACATTAATTATCTGATTTTTTTTTTTTTTTAAGATATTGCTGTAATCAGTGATGGAGAATCAGTTATTTGTGCCCCTGAAAACAGGCAATAAATCTGTTTGATTTTCCTTTGTATTTTTTAATTCTGCCCTGTATTTACAGGACATACACCTGACACCATCGACTGATTTTTACAAGAAGTTAGCCTTGGACTGCTCAGGGCAACAGGTTGCAGTGGATTTATTTCTTCTTAGTGGGCAGTATTCTGACTTGGCTTCTCTAGGTAAGTCATATAAAGTTGTTGAGGGGTGTGTAACTCTTGTACTTTTGGCAAATGTTTAGTGTATATTAAAGTTTAGTGTATGAACCTGATTTGAACTAATCTAATGTGTCAAGATGCAAATTCATCCTTGCTGAGCAGTGACAGTGAATAGAATGATGTTTAGTTAGAATAGAAGTTACTTTCATATCCTCCCTTAGTGAGTCAGGATTTTTGTGATACTGCTATAAGTGGCTGAAATACTTTCCTCCTTTTTATGCCTTTTAACCATCAGTGTAATTGTCTTTAGAGTAAGTTTTATTATAATTATTTTCTTCTCCATTTAACTAAACTATCAAGTGACCAAGTACCTGCAATTTCAGGTCAGTGGAAAATTATTTCCCACCTGAAACTGCACACATACTTAAAGATATAGTTGTGTTATATCTGTGTCTCTGTATGCAGGTCTATAACTGTGCATCAGAGTGATTTGCAGTTTAATAATTAAAGGGAATATTGCATTCAGCTGGTATATTTAAAGGCTGCAGCAACTGTCTGCACTCTCCAATGTGTGCTGGTTTTGTTTCAGGTTGTATATCCAGGTATTCTGCAGGTAGTGTCTATTACTACCAGTCTTACCATCATAAACACAACCCTGTCCAGGTGGAGAAGTTGCAAAAGGAGCTGAAACGATATCTAACTAGAAAAATTGGGTTTGAGGCTGTCATGAGGATAAGATGCACAAAAGGTTTGAATTCACTTTCTTAGATTTTTGGGGCGGAGAGGGAAGTGGGTGTTTGCTGTTTTTTGGGAATGTTTTGATTGGTATTTTAGCTGATTTGTAAGCTTAAATGCTTAAAAGGTAGAGATTAGAAAAGTAAAATTCAATACCAGAGATCAGACAATTTATTAAAGACTGTATATTTTCTGGCATCTAAGTTCCATTTTACAATGGTTAAAACTGGAAATTTTGTTGGACTGCTATTTCAGCAAGGGACCTTTTATAATCTAGAGACTTTCTACTATGTGCATTGATTTGCCTTGCTAATTCCTGCTTTCTCTTAGGCTGTGTGGATTCTTTAGATTACTTGTGTGTTTGGGATATTTGCCTTTTCTGCAGATACTGTATTTCATTGAGAGGGAACATTCTGACACAGAGCCATCTACACTGGTGGCACGTGTGTAAACAGTGTCTGTATTTCACAGCTATGAAACCCAAACTGATTTAATACTTGCTTATCTTGCAGGGCTTTCCATCCATACTTTCCATGGGAACTTCTTTGTAAGATCCACAGACTTGTTGTCGTTACCCAATGTGAACCCAGACGCGGGATACGCCGTGCAAATGTCCGTGGAAGAGAGTCTGACTGATATGCAAGTTGTTTCTTTCCAGTCAGCTCTCCTGTACACGTCCAGCAAGGGTAAGATGTACAGGTGGTGTCACCTGCAGTGTTCACATGAGTCTTTGTGTCCATCTATCAGCTGCAGTTCAGCTGCAGTAACTTACTCAAACTGCTTAATTTAATATCAGGATCACAGCTTGGGTATGTCGTTGATATTGTTGCTTTTTTCAGACCGAGAAGTTTCTTGGGAAACATAGTTTTGGTCTGAAAATAAGTAGGCTTAACCCAGAAACTGAGAACTAATCATTTTAAGGGCTATTGAAAATGGCCTGATTCACCATCTGTATGATAAACTAGGTTGGGCAAACAGTGGCATTTTAGTATTTCATAAAACAAGTATGTTGGGAGACAACAGTTTTCTTTTCCTGCAGGTGAAAGACGAATTCGTGTGCACACCATGTGCTTACCTGTGGTGACCACACTGAGTGATGTGTACCTGGGGGCAGACGTGCAGGCCATCACTGGGCTCTTGGCCAACATGGGTAAGTGTGCTCAGAGCCTGTGTGGGTATGCATGGATCCCATCCTTAAACCTCTGAGCAATAATCCTCTAGGAGAAGAAAAAAAAAAAGAAAAATCTTTTAGAAGAAAATATTCCCACTTTCTAAGAGTACTTTCTAAGTAGAAAGCCTAAGAGTATTGTTTTTAATGCTTAGCTTAAGTATCAGTAGAGCTGTGTGTAGTCACCTGGACTTAGGCTTAGTCTGGTGCATCATCACAGGCCCCTGGCTTTTTTTCTGAATCACTTCCTCTGGAATGCAGTGAAAGCTTGTTGGGATGCATCAAAGTATACAATAAAGTGAGAAGAGTTAACGTACGTGACTGTATTCCTGCCAAGGGAGGAAAAGGCTCTTACTTGAGCTCTGTGCTCTGTTTTTAGCTGTGGACAGATCAGTGTCTGCCACGCTGAGCGATGCTCGGGACGCCCTGGTGAACGCCGTGATCGACTCCTTGTCCGCTTACCGGTCATCGGTGCTGAGCATCCAGCAGCCCGGGCTCACTGCCCCCCACTCCCTGCGCCTCTTCCCACTGTACATCCTGGCACTCTTGAAACAGGTAAGAGGGTGATTGTTTGGCAGGTCAGCTCCAAGTAGAAGGACAGTTCTTCGCTGGAGAATGATTCAGTTCAGAAGTGTATGTAAAACCAAAAGTATAAATGTATTTGTTAATTGAATTTCTGTGAACTCATACTAGAAGTAATTTTAAATGTTGGACAAACTGGCTTTCTCTTTTAGAGAGAACTTTTGGATTCATACCTCTTGATTAGGAATTAACCAGCATGTTCACACCGAGCTTGTTCATTTAAAAGACTTTATAAGTATGTTACCCAATCAAGTGGGAGGAGTGAGCCCTTGTTTAATTTATAGCTGTTGTTTTGTCCCAAGAGACCAGGACTATCTCTTTCTTGTAAATCCAGACCTAAGATTCTGAACATTGGAGCCAATTGTTACCTGCTCCAATGTTAATTAAGTTCCATCAAGTAGCATTTTTAAGGTGTATGTTAGAGAGACACGTTGCAGGATGATTTCATCTCAGCTGTAGTGGATTGATGGTGCTGGGTCATGGTTAATTCTAGAATCCAGAAATGAGAATTGTATGATTTGTATGTGAAACATTGAAGAGAATATAAAATAGCAGCAGTAAAATACCATAAGAAAATACTTGCTGCACATCTCTACGACTTAAGCTGGAAATAAGCAATAGATGGTGTGTGAAATTCAGCTTCTCTGGCTTTGCTTTAATGGTTAAACTAAATGCCTGACTGTTTGCAGAAAGCATTTCAAACTGGGACGAACACACGTCTGGATGAACGGATCTTCACCATGTGTCAAGTGAAAAACCAGCCCCTTGTTTACCTCATGCTCATGACACATCCCAGTCTGTACAGAGTCGATACCCTCACAGATGAGGTGAGTCTTTGCACTGCTACGTGATCTGTCTGTTTGATGGCAAAGACTTGTATGATGTGAAAATAAATTTGTGTTAAGAAGCTCCCAAGTTTCCCACATTAAAGCTGCGTAGCTAAAATGTAATGTTTCATATTCTCCCACTTGTTGCATTTATGCATTTGTTGTTTGGGACTGGATTGATGAATTCTGGAGAGAAGCTGTGCTCTGGCTATGGATGGATGAGGAAGGTTTTTCCCTAACTTTTTTAACTTTTTGCCTTGTGTCATTATCTTGCACTATAAATCACATGCATATAAAGACATCATAACATGCTTTAACCTTTTGTTGCTCTGTAGCTTCCTTTATTTAAAAATGTCAAGCACTTCTGTGAACAGTGAATGTTTATGTAAAACCCTGAATAATTTTAGAAATCACATCTTTCATAGATAACAAATCTGACATTCCAGTTCTAGAACTAATTAACCAAGATGTTGATTAAATACCCCCTCTCTAAATAAAACATTGGGATTTATTAGTAAATTATGCACTTGAAGTATGACTTAAGTTAAACTGAGAAAAAGGGCCCAGCTTCAGTATTCAGTGTAATACATCCTACTGTCATTTAACCTTCTGTTCTGTTTTGTTGCATCAAGATGTGAACTGCTGGTTTTCTTCTTGCTTCTTCTTTTAGGGGGCTCTTAACATAAATGACAGAACTATACCTCAGCCACCCCTTCTCCAGCTGTCAGTGGAGAAGCTGAGCAGGGATGGTGCTTACCTTATGGATGCTGGCTCTGTAAGTTGGGTAGAGATGGAGATTTTAAAAAGTATCCAAAGTTACTTTATGAGAACACTGCTGGGGTGTGTTTTGTGCTGGACTAATGTTGCTATTGATGGGTATCTTTCAGGTGATGTTTCTGTGGGTCGGGAAGAACTGTGGGCAGGGTTTTATCAGCCAAGTCCTTGGAGTTCCAAATTATGGCTCAATACCACAGAATATGGTACGTGCTTGCTTTGCTGAACACCAGCCTTACAGTGCTGCCAGAATGTTTTCATGAGAACTAAAATACCACTACTCAAATATTAGCCCTCTAGTTACATAAATCCAGATTCAAGGAAAGAAATAATTGCTGTTACCTCTTGGGGTTTCTCCAGGCTGAAACTTTATAGAATATATTCCCATGAAAACGCAGTAAGAAGAGGCTGACAGTGATTGAGTTTCTCAGACCTGTGGGAGCAGATCAAGAACACTTGCAAACAGTGAGCACAGTGGGTTAGTGGGTATCCTTATCTGCAGTAAAACAGGCATCAATCACAGCTCAGTCATCATCATTCTGATAGCTAATTGCTGATAGCAGTTTAGTGCTCTTCACTGTTTGAAGCCCTTTCAAAGAAGACAGAACTGAAACTATACATCACAAAACCTATCTGTCTGGGTTTTCTTTATGCCCAATTAGTTCATTCTGCTGTTTTTCTGAAAAATATCCTGTTTGTTTTAATGAAACCCTTTGCCTTTTAGACACATCTCCCAGAACTTGAAACTGCAGAATCCATCAGAACACGAGCTTTTGTTTCTTGGCTGAGAGAACAGAGACCTTTCTTTCCTATACTATATATAATAAAGTAAGTGGGGTTTAAGTTGTTGTGCTTCTTCAGGAACCTGTTAACAATACATATTTGGATATCATATACTGAACTTCCTTAATGGAAGTTTTAATGATGGTGTGTGCTGTTCCTGACAGATTTGACAACAGATATGACTTGTTGTGAGTTGTCTTAAATTAGAATTTCCACAGACTATAAAAGACTAAATGTCACAGAACAATCTTTAGGTAATGTCATATAAATGAAGTAAATGCTGGTAAGTGCTCTTACTAGGATTAATCACTATTAGGGGCTCTTTGGGATGCACTTTTCATATGTCCTTAAGCTCTTGAAATGTTTTGCCTGTAACTTTATCAATGTATTGCACTGTAGCTCTTGGCAAATGTTTATTTCACTCAAACACTATTTTCATTTTTAAGGGATGAGAGTCCATTGAAATCAAGTTTTCTGCAAAATATGATTGAAGACAGAACAGAATCAGCCTTATCATACTATGAATTCCTCCTTCATATACAGCAGCAAGTGAATAAATGAAACACTGGCCTTTGGCTCACTTCTTTAAGGAAAGATTTTGCAGTAAAGAATGATTGTGCTTGTAATATCTTCATTAATTCTGTGGCCTGAGGCAGTTGATGAGAAGTTCTCACTGTGATTTCAACGAACTAAAGCAAATAAAGGACCACATCTGAGAATCAAATGTGCAACTACATAAATATTGTACCTTAAAAAAAAAAATCAAACTGTTGGAACCGGTTGAGCACCTTTAATTTGCTGCAAATCGTGTTTTTACTGTAAGTAGTTGCAGCATGAAGTACATTTACAAAGGCAATACTGAAAAGGTGAAATACATTTTGTAAAATAAAGAGTTCTTTGTTGTTCAAAATGTATATTTCTGTAACTTTTTGCCTTTTTTTTTTTTTTTTTTTTTTTTTGCTGCTAGATATAAAACCTCACAATACTGATCATGATTTGCAGGGAAATTCTTTCTAAGTGCATCCAGTGATTACAGACAGAGCATCTCAATGTTCAACTTAATGCTTAAAGTAGCAATGAAACAAGTGTTCATTGTGAAATGAACAAATACTTACGGAGTGTAGAATCCAGTGCTTGGATTTGGATTATGGCTAATAGGACTAAAGGTAAGCTTAACCTGGACGAGATGGCTGAATTCATAAAGCTTTTAATAAGTCAGTATTCTAATTTAAAAACTGGGGAGGAGTGGGCCCTACATGAGGTGGCTGAGTCAGCAGCAAGAGTAGACTTGGTAGATGGCAAGCTTTGCTTTTCTTCAGTAGAAGGAATAATTTTAATTTCAGTTTGTGGGAGGGGAAGGGCAAGGAAGGTTATCTCAGATTTATTGTTTGGGTTTACGTTCAGTAGACTTTTGGCTGTTGTTTACGGGAACTGAATGTTGGGCCCCTCAGATCTGGTGTTTGTGTGGCAGCGCTTGGGGCCGAATGTTTAGAGACAACACTGAACGTTCTGATGTTAAAACAGGAAATTATTTCTCCAAGAACAAAATTATTATATCGCATTTGAAGATTCGTGTATCATTGCAGACATGCCTGAGGTTGTCAAAGAAGGGGTTTTTTACTGTAGCTGTGTGATGAGCCCAGGTCCAAAGCCAGTGTGCACCAAACAAAAGCTTTAAATATACTCTCAGATCCTGCCAGAGCTGCAGATTGAAGCTGACATCAGACTTGAATCGAAAATTTATATACAAAAAGTATTTAAATAACTTTATAGAAGTGTATTGATAGTTGTTCTGTTTTGAAGATTAGGCTATCATTGATAGCTGCCAACATAGAGTATTTAACTTGCTGTATCTCTATGCCTATGGAAGTGTTGTCTATGGAGAAATCTTGGTTTGCTTTTTTGTTTAAGAGTGTAAACTTAAAGGTCTTGCAAAACCAGCTTCCTGGGGCAAGTAACTTGAAGAGGTTGTACACTTGTAAGTGGTCAAACGTACTGTGCTTAGTTCACTTACATTTGGTGACACAAATGTCAGTGGGGTCAACATTTGGGTCAGCATTTGCTCCCATTTCAGGCTGTAGCTGCACGTGATTGTCAGGAGTTGCCTTACTTCAGGGGAGGAGTTCCTTGGGGGAAATTGTCCTTGTGGCTTGAGCACAAGAAGCTAAAGTTCAGAACAATGACTAAAATAGCATGGAAAGCCTATTATAGAACCAATTTAAGCTTCCCTGTCTGCTGCCTCCGTAGCAAACAGGAATATATTTACTTGAACAGCTTTTCAGAGAATTGCACAGTTTCTAGTCATAGTGAAGAGGTTTTTTAAGTTTTGACAGTCTGATTTTTTTTTTCCAGGGGGGAAAGGGTTCTCTTCATTTAAATCATAAATGGAACCTCTGCACTTGCATAGGTTCTGACTGAAACCTTGTGTTTTGGGTATATTATCACCCAGATGTTGAAAACCATCCTTACATCTAACAGCCCACCCGAAGTCTGTTTGTTACTATGACTGTATTTTGCTACTATATCCCTTATTTTTTTTAAGAAACATAAATGTTGGAGGTGGCCTCATTGCTTTATGTACACCAGACTAATGGCTGAAGATGTCTGTCTTTGTGGCAATTAACAACTTTGAATTGCAGTCCCTAAGTTTGACAGAGCAAAACATGATAAATGAGTCCGATGAACCCTCTTGGAGTTCTCTTCTCTTTGGAAGAAATTCTGTATTAATTTATTCCCTAGCAGTGGGGAAGGCCTGCTGGTTCACTTGTACTGCTGTAAGGGCAACACAGGGCAGATGGACACACACTACCTAGGATTTCTCATTTTTACATAACGTTGAAAAATGAGAACACTGAAGATGAACTGCAAAAGTAGGCAAGAGTGGCTCTGGTACTTAGATCTCAGCATGACAACTCTCCCACTGCAAATGTGTGGTAGAGGTGTGTCTGTTTTTCTAGTTGAACACTTTTGTTTAAGCTATTTCTGTATTTGACACATTAGTGTTCAGCGAACAACATTGTTACCATCCATTTTACTTTGCTTTCATTATCGTTTTTAATTTAATATATTTGAGTCTAAGTCCACATAGACTGTGTTGCAATAACTAGAATGATTCACTTTTATTTAGAATTAATTTCTTAACAGATTTTAATCAAAGATGCAGAATGGCTTTTAAGTTAAGGGACCATTAAATGTGATTTTAAGGTTCTGTTTACTATTATGGATGTAATCCTTATAGTAAATTTTATTTTGTAAAGTAGTGTATAATATTGTAATATTAAACCTTTGTTTTCTGAACTCAAACATTTGATCTTCAGTATGAAGTTATAAATCTCCCCCCTTCTGAATTTGAGACAGGATTTACTTGTCCTCCTTTTTACAGTTTGTAATTTTCACTGTTTTATTCCTGTAAAAAGTCATTTGTAACACATGCAAATGCTTATTTTATCTGTGCTAATTTATCAGATTTGGCTACTCAATAAAATTAATTGAAAGAACTCATGCAAGTCCATCACTCCTTTCTTATAAATAAAAATAGAGTAATGTATTTGATTAAGTGAGATAAATACCATGCATCAATCAAGAAGTTGGTCTCAGGAGCTGACAGTGATGGTTGGAATTTAGCCTTCAGCAGCATTCCAAGATGGTGATCAATTTTCTTGTAGGTGATCCTGTATCTTCATTTAACATCCCATTCTTTCAGCACCTTTTTGTAAAAGTCATTTCCATTTTACGCTTGCCAATTCTTTTATGGGCTGTTGTCACCGCTGCTTCTGGTTCATCGTGGATGAGTTAATGCATGAGCTTGGTAGTCAGATCTCTGTATTAAACTCTGTTTGAATACAGAATTCTGTCATTCAGTGTTGTTGAAATATTAATTGGACTTGTCAGCACTGGGTTTTTTTTCCCCAGTACACATCCCCCTGTCCTGCTGCTGCTGAGCTCCACCACTCCGGCTGTGGCTCTGGGCTTTGGAACCCTCAGTGTGGGATCTCCTCTTCCTACTTGAGGTGTCTGGGCCGTTAAGGAGCAAAGTCGTTTGGTGTCGAGGATGTGGAGGGCAATTATGTGAAGTACCGATGGAAATGATCCCTGTCCCCGCTCCTTCAGTTTGGCTCTCGGGTGCTGTCGCCCAGTGGTTGTCTGTGGCAGTGTTCAGGGAGAGGAAGAATTAATGTGGTACAGCTTTATCACCTGTCACACAAGAAGAGGTGTGATGGACTTTTAGTGTGCATAAACATGAATATTATGCGTCTTGCTAGAAAAAACTGAATGCACTCCGAGTCCTGTAATGTCACAGCAATTCTGGAATCCTGGAGCGTTCCTCGTGTGTTGGTTTTTGCTCAGTGTGCACAGTCAGTCCGCAGCGGTGCGGCGGCAGATTGGGGTGTTCCCCTGAGTGTGCTGCACGCTTGTGTGCGCTGCACAGCCCCTGCCCAGCCTGAGGGTGCCCCGTCATCCCGTCCCCTCAGCGCCGCCATCGCCCCTTCCCGCCCTCACAGCCCTGTGACGTCACCTCCGAGGCCGCGCCCGCCATCTTTAGTGCAGGCGCCGCGCCGTTAGAGAGCGCGGGGAGCGGGACTGTCCCCCAGCGCGTCCCGCCTTTCTTCTTTGCCCTTACCTAAATGGCGGGCTCGCTTCAGAGGGCGGGCAGGGCGGTTGCCCGCGCCTGCGCGGGCGCGGGATGCGAGGGGCGGGCGCGGTGCCGGGCCCTGGAGGAGCGGGGATGGCGGACAGCGGGTGCGGGCGCCGGCTTGCCACACCGCAGGGTCCCCCCGCGGGGCATCTCGGCGTCCCAGCGCCGCCGCCGAGGCTGCGCCGCAGGGGAAGCTGCTCATGAACTCAGAGCACGAGCGCATAACCGCATCATGGGCTTCCACCGGCCCGCGGCCGGCAAGGGTGAGCTGGGTGGCGGGGGTGGTGTGAGGGCTCCGCGCGGGGCTGCGGGGACGCCTCGGTCTCCTCTCGCCCTGAGCGCTGCCCGCGCTCCCCTCGCGGGCAGGAGCGGTGGCGACAGGGCCCGCTGGCTCCCCAGGGTCCCTCAGTGCCGCCTGCCCTCGCAGGGATGCCCTGAGAGCAGCGCGACCTCCGAGGGACCCGCCCTCGGGTAAGATCCGTGTGTCACCGGAACCTCGGGTCTTGGGGCTGTCCCTGGTCATTTTACTGCAAGTGGGTTTTCTTAGCTAAAGAAAGGGTGACCCTCCCCTGCAAGTGGTTTTTTTTTTAGTTAGAGAAAGGATGAGCCTCCCCCAGGTTTCCAGTCACTTACTCCTGGCTTTCGTAGCTGGGTTTTTATAGCTGTCAGTTGTCTCCTGTTTGGGTAATGACCAGGCGTTGGGCATTTGTGGTTGGCATGCAGAATTTTCTTGCAGAATCATAGGTAGGTCGTTTATATTTCTCCACATGCTTCAAGAGGGCTGACCATCTTGTCAGGAAAGAATCAATGTGATTTAACACTGAGAAGTTCTTCTTAAGCTCTCTGGTAGGACCAGACCTGTTGTGTCTCTTGGTTTGGCTTTTGTTCTCTGCCATCACCTCTCTTGCTCTAAGATGGGTCTTGAGGTTTCATACAGAGCAGATTAACACTGCTCTGCCGCTGGCAATAGAAGACAAGCCAAATTGTTGGAAATGATACAACTTTTCTAATTTTTAATAGCTTTAATTAGCCTTTTGTTAGTTTTTTTAATTAATCATACATGCTGTGTTAGGCCTTAAATCACTTTTAGCCAGCGTTTAGCAGAAAGTTGTCATAAGCTACTTTTGTGGGAACGCAGCTTGGGAAAAGTACCAAAACTGTAAGTTTTGTTAAAAGTTAACCTTGAAATACTTCAATGAACAAAGCCTGGGAGAGAGAAAGATGTATTGTTGAAGCTGGACATCTGGAACCCAAGATTTATGAACTGCAAGGGCGTTTTGCAGAAATCAGCAGATGAAGAAGAGTAACAAAGACGCCATAGATGTGATACAAAGTCCCTTCTGAGAGAAAAAGATACTAGAAAGACTGAAGATATGAACTAATTATCATAAAAAGCGAGAAATTAATGCCCAATAGAAGGCAGAATATTAACTAAAGAGAATTATGTAATTAAGAACCAATGAGCATTGATTTGTTTGCTAAAAATGTAAAAATAGGTAGAAAAATTATTTATTGGGTCTGTGTGGGGACTGAAATCTGTCTTACACCTCTGGCTAGAAATGAAGTAATACCTTGCTTTCTAACACTAAAAAGACAGTGTTAGAGAGTTTTATGTATCCTGGCAATTTTGGAGTATTTGGCAGCAGAGATACACTTCTGTTGCCTGCTCATTTGTCAGGTTTCAATGCTCTCCTGGGTGATTCACCTTCTGCAGATCTTTGTCTTTTGTTTTATGTTGCTCTGTGCATTTGGAACAAGGTCTTTCCTCCTGTGCAGGCAGTGCTGTTGCTTAGGGAAGTGCAGTGTTTTAATTTCTCCACTGCTGACCAACAGCTTCACCTTGTGGCCTGCGTTGCCCAGCTGCCTGTCCCGTGTCTGTCTGTGAAGCAGTGCCCTCTTTAGTCCTTTCTTTTCACTTGGGAAGCAGAGACATCAAACCAGGACGCCAATCCAGTTTGGCCAAAGTGTTGTTCCACGTACCTGCTGTGTGTAACTGCGTGTTTCTGTTTCTCTCCTTCAGATGACGACAGTCACACAGAGTCAAAGCTGCAGCACGAGCAGGATAAATCCAACTCCCTCCCCATTCCTTCGGTTTCCAAGCGAATCGTGCTTGGAGATTCCGTGTGCAGTGTGCCAGGCTCTGCTGACCACGCAGGGAGCCTGGCAGAGCTCCGGGGGGACAAGGACTTGTTCAGCAAAGCCCCCGAGCTGGTCACCGAGGGCACAGGGGAGCTCCGCCACCGGCACCGGGGTGATCTGCCCCCTGAGGCTGCACCACGGCCACCCAGACACGGGCTGGAGCAGTACCTGTCCAGATTTGACGAGGCTCTGAAGCTGAGGAACCAGCTGATGAGTGAGAAGCCGAGCCAGGAGAACGGGAGTGCCGGGGAGGAGTTTGACTCTTTCCGCATTTTCCGATTGGTGGGATGTGCTCTGCTCGCCGTCGTGGTCAGGGCTTTTGTGTGCAAGTACCTGGTGAGTTCAGGGGAACAGTCCTGCTCTGCAAATTTATTGTGAAATACCCTTCATCTGGGGCTGAAGTCTGTTGGTAGTGACCCAGTTGGGAACTTCAGACACACTACATTTCCACACAGCCACTGTGTAACCACTGAGAGCAGCACGTGTTTGGTCTGTAGTGGTTGAGCACAGATGCACTGGAGTAGTTGTTGCAGTTTAAGTCTCTTGCAAATTTATTCCCTTCTTTGTGAGCATATGAGTCAGCTGCTCCCCTAGTTTGGAGTGTACAAAAGAATAATAGAGTAAGAATAGTGTCCCCGTCCCTGGAAATATTTGATGCCAGGTTGGACAGGGCTTGGAGCAACCTAGTCTAGTGGAAGGTGTCCCTGCCCTTCAGGGGGTTGGAATGAGATGGTCTTTAAGGTCCTTCCAACCCCAATCATTCTGTGATTCTAGGAACAGTAAAGTTGTCCCAAGATAAGTAGATCCTACTCATTTATCAGTCTGAGAAAAGTAATTCTCAGTATTCCTGGTGCCTGCCAGAACAGCACAGAGATGTGTGGCAGGCACAACCTGCCACCTCCTGGATCCCTGGGCTCAGTTTCACTCACTGCTGCTCCCTTCTGTGATTTCAGGGTTTTAGGCTCAAAATAGGGCAGAACCTTATTTTTGTCATGTAACTTGTCTCCTGAGGTTTGTAGTATTCAAGAATACTGTTGCTGTGTTCCACAAATTATTTTTTACCTACTAGTTTTCTTTTATGACTTAGGAAGCATTACATTTCTGTGTTTCTTAGCTGTTACTTCTGACCAAGTTAATTTTTGTATATTCTGTTCTGTTTCTTCAGTCAATATTTGCACCATTTCTTACTCTACAACTCGCTTACATGGGACTGTCCAAGTACTTTCCAAAGGTAATTTTCTTTTTTTCAGAATTAGATTAATTTGAAGTGTTTTAAATTTAAATTTGTGTTTAGATTGTATTAGGACCAACACATGTGAAGTATTCTTCTCTTGTTTTAACCTGTAGAGTTGTATTACCAATGCTGATAGTTTATACTAATTTTTAATCTTTCCAGATTTAGTCCAAATCTTTTTTTACAGTTTCTGTGAAAACACGGACTAGCAGCTTGTTTAGCTGTAGCCTAATTAAAAGCATCTGACCAGGAAATCCAGGTAGTTCTTTCATGTCTTCAGGAAATTTGCTTTTCTCCTAGACCACGCTCTTCTCTGGTTACTGTTTGCTCTGTCAGCAGCTGTTCTGCATGTAATAGCTGGATGAAATTTGTGAGTGTGTTTGCTAAAGAATGAGGCAGAACATGGGTTTTAAGAGCTCTGCATTCCCTTGCTGGTATCAGGTTGAATGGCAGCTTGAAATGAGACATTTATTTGTGTGTGAAACTTGCTGCTCATTAGCTAGATTTGCTCTATCACTTGATTCGTATATTTACACCAGGCAATTGTGCTGAAGTATTTGTTAGGTTGATGATTTTGTCAGGTTTGTGCTGCAAAGTGGGATTGAATGATGTTCAATCTATAGTTAAAAGGGAAAATTTACATTTTAAAAGGAATAATACATTACCTGTAGGAAATCAGAATAAATCAGCAGTTCTTTTGTAGTTAAGTATATCGTAATAGTCACTCTAAGCTGATGTGTCACAACACAAAACAGTAGAATTAGCCTTAGATTTGCACCAGCTCATCAGCTACATCTTCTTGATCTTGTTTCTGCTGTATTTAAAATCAGCTCTTCAGTTTCAGAATTTAAAGAGGTGTTTCCTTTCCACAACGTGCTTTTACTGCACTTCATTGCATGAGGTCAATCTGTTAGTTAGCCTTCATTTTTCTCTCAAGAAACATAGAAATGTTCTTGAAAGCTTAATTTAGATTGGATTAAATTAAGATATCCAGCCAATATCATCAAATTACCAGAATTTTCAGCCACTGTCACCTTTTCCTGCCTGTCAGACTTCGTATTCTTGGGATTCCTCATCTCAAGGATGGAACATCTTTCAGAAGGTTTTGGGAGATTTTTGAGTTCAGAGGATGAAACTTCCAAATTAAGTTGTACTAAAATAGAAACAGTTGGGTTTTCAATTCTAAATAATTTTTCTGTTAGAAAACTAACAGTATTTATGGGGCTTGGAGCAACCTGGTCTAGTGGAAGGTGTCCCTGCCCATGGCAGGGGGTTGGAATGAGATGAGCTTTAAGGTCCCTTCCAACCCAAAGCTTTCTGTGTTCTATTTTTTGCCAAGTAGTGTAATGAGATTAATCCAGTTCTGCCAGTGGACCTGCCAGGCTTGGCTTCTTACACCCAGATTGCCCCTGTCTGGGAATCTTCCCAGTCCTGCACAGCCCCACCTCTCAGCCTGCTTGGAGGCAGAATATCCAGGATCAATTTTCTCTGCTGTTCTCCAGCCTCTCACTCAGCTCCGGGGGATCCAGCACAGCAGGAATCTGTGTCTGGGATAAGTGCTGTGAATCCTCCAGTGTGTCTGGAGAGAATCAATCCAAACCTGCTGCTCTTACCAATGAATTTGGAATGTGTGAAATAGGCACAACATTGGTGACATGTAAAGCAGAACTGGATTAGGAGGACTAACATGATACTGTGTTTTTATCCCTTTTAGTGTGAGAAGAAGGTGAAAACGACAGTCCTGACTGCTGCTCTCCTGCTGTCTGGGATCCCTGCAGAAGTGATCAGTCGCTCCATGGACACCTACAGCAAAATGGGAGATGTTTTCACAGACCTCTGTGTCTATTTCTTTACTTTTATCTTTTGCCATGAACTTACTTTGGTTTTTGGCTCTGAAGTACCATAATGGCTGTACAATTCCACACAGCAGCTACACTAAACCTCTCTGGACTGTGTTTCTTAAATGTCTGACACTGTGCAGACAGGTCTAAACCTTCACTAAAATTCCTACCTGTTGAAATGCTTGAAAGGAGCCTTAAATCCAGTCATTTTGGGAAAGGAAGAGCAGGGTCCCAGACTGCCAGTTGTATTGGTTCAGTTTATTTAAATACTGTGTCTGCATATTACAAATGTGAAGACTAGGGTGCAAGTGTCAGTGGATGATTTATTTGCTTTAGTTAGATGATGCCCCTCTCAACTTCCTTCATAAATATTTACAAAGCTGCCTTTGTTCTTTTCAGTGAGAACAAGAAGAGAGTTCCCTTCAGCAGAAGCATATATATGTGTATATCCTGTATGACTGTATCTAACCAGACCTGCTCATTTTGTGGTGTTCCCATTTTTTTAAAGAAAGCTCTAAATAAAAGAAATCCCTGTACTCTGTTCAAATGTTCAAGGTCAGAATGTTGAACCAAGTAGCTGCTTCTGGAGAATGTTGGTGAAACTTGCCACTTTGTTGTTATGATCCTTGCCTTGCTATACCTTATTTGTTGTGATTGTAATTAATTTCATTTGATGATGATTGTGGAAAAGAGCTAAGCAAAATCAATAACAAGAAAATCCTGGTGCTTACAAATGTCATTAATCAAAAAAAATAAGAAGAAACAAAATTAATCTCACCTGTTTATGAGTTTTCAGCAACCTAATCCTAGTGCAGCTCATCCTTGTGCTTTCTGATGCCTTTTCTTTATATTAACAGTTCATCTCATGAGGGAGTTGTATATATTGGCACCCAACCTGCAGTATCAAATCTTTGCTCTAGTGTTTGTAAAACTTACCAGGGAAACTGTTTTATTTTCAATCTCTTATGAATTTTGCACAGTGGGAGGAAGGAAGTGTCATTCCAAATAGTCCACTTAAATGGTGATAATCTCTAAAAATCTTTATTGAAGGTAAATTTGGTAGTTTCTTCATCTTGTAGTTTTCTGTTTAGAATCTGGACTTTTAGGAGATCTAGGCCGATGTCTTTTTTAGCACAGTAAAACACCTATTTAACTTGGTATTTGTCTGCAGAAATTTTTTTAGGGAGCAGAAGTGTTTGATTATAACCCCTCTAAAGCGAATGCCCTGCACTCTGCCTGTCATTTTCTGTTAAAGCTGTAATTCTAGTGCCTCGTTTCTGACTCCTGAATTAGATACATGTTTGTTTGTGGCCTGAAAACAAGAATCTTACATTTTGATTTGACTATTTTTGTGTTTGTTTTTTTTTTTTTTAACATTATGTTACAGTGAGTATTATGTTACAGATGTACAGGGCTGCAGAAGATTCTGACTTTTGTCTATGAGCACAGATACTGATTCAGAAGCTTTAAATTTGTTTATACTAGACAGGAATTTCAGCAAATGGAAATTAAGGTTGAGATATGTAAATAACGAGTTTGCTCCGAAGTTACACGTGTCCCGATTCTCTATTTATATGCCCAAACGTGATACAAATAAATTGCAAAAACACCGTGTACCAAGACCTGCATCAAGCAATGGATGTTTAATCATAATTTTAACACTAATCAGCTCCACACCGTGGGGTGAGCGGGCAGAGCTCCAGGAGGGGCTGGATGGAGAAACGGCCATCAAGAAGCCCCTTTTGACCAAGAAGCGAATCGCTTTTATTCTGCTCATGCCCATAATTCTATTTACCGTGCCTTTCCCGCCGGTTGTTCCTCCCAGAGCCCTCTCCCCCTCCCGGCTCTGTCCGCCGTCCGCTGTCTCTGCGCCCTCCGGCCGCGGGGCGCTGCGGGGCGGGCGGAAGGGCGGCGCTGGCGCGGGCGGGCCGGGCGGCGCGGGATGCGGCCGCCGTGTAGCGGGAGCGGCCGCCGCCATGGGCCGCGAGTCCAGGTGATGGGAGCGGGGGCGGCATCGCGGGCTCTGCCCCCGCCCGGGAGCGCGGCTCGCCCGGGGAGCGCGGCGCGGGGACGGGCACGAGCGGGAACAAAGGCGGGCGCGGGCGCTGAGGGCGCCGAGGCGGGGCCGGGCCCGGCGCCGGTCTGAGGGCAGCGCCGGGTCCGCGGGCGCTCCGGACGGGGCGGAGGGGGGCCGCGGGGACGGCGCTGGGTGGGCCCGAGCTGTCCCGAGCCTCCCCCCCGCGGCCTTCGCGGGCTTGCTCTAAAGAGGCGTGATTCGCCACGTAGCGCTTCGAACGTGGGTTAGACGTTTCCCTTGTGCTTCTTGAGTTCCTGCAGGGTCACGCACGTTTTGCCCGATCGCAGCCGGTATAAACACCTGGTGGGCGCTGTGGCCAGCCCGGCAGTGATGTGAGCGTGTGCTCCGGCTGGTCTGGAGCTGCTCACACCGCTCAGGCTTTGCACCGACCCCACAACGTGCCGGTGCTGTCGGGCACGTCTCTGTTTCCCAGTTTGATCAAACCATCGGATTTTAACTCCAGAGCTGCCACAGCAGCCCCCGCACGCGGTCGTCAGTGCCCTGGCACAGCCCCCAGACCCGTAATGGGGGTTTACACCGACAGAGGCAGATGAGTTGAAATTTTACCAACCGGCTTGAACTCAAATTAGTGATTCAGTGCAGAGCTGGGCACTCCCAGAGATCCATCTAATTAGCTCCAAATGAGCTGGGGCAGCGGTGGGTGGGACAGGACACTGTTACAAATGTTTAGAAATTTAAAAGCTCTGAGGAATTAAGATAATTTTTTTTTTGCTTGTTCACCTAAATATGATCAATATCCTTTAAGTGCAGATGGTTTTTGTGCTGACATTCATCTCTCTGAATTTGTGTCTCAGGCATTATCGGAAGCGCTCCGCGTCCCGTGGGCGCTCCGGGAGCCGCTCCAGGAGTCGTTCCCCGTCGGACAAAAGGGGCAAACGTGAGGACAGGCGCTCCAGGAGCAGGGATCGGGATCGCAGGCGGGAGAGGTCCCGCAGCAGGGACAAGAGAAGGTCCCGATCGCGGGACAGAAAGCGCCAAAGGTAGGACATGAGTTCCAGTCGAAGTAGATCAAAGTGCCTGTCAGCTGGATATTGATGTTCTTCCCTCTCATCAGGCACTTTGCTGATGGTTGTATAGATTTCACTGTGCTCAAGGCTTTTTGCTTATTAAATCCTTTCTAGCTGCTGGTGCTGGAGTCTGTAAGTTCTTAGTGGTCTTGATGATTGGTGGGTTCCTTTTACAGCCTGTTCCTCAATAGCAGACTAAAGTCATATGTGATCACGGGCTAAATAAATACAATTTTGTTCCCTGTCAGACGCTCGAGGAGCAGAGAAAGGGAACGGAGCCGAGAGAGAAGACGCTCCCGGAGCCGGGAGAGGAGGCGCTCGAGGAGCAGGAGTAGAGGGAGACGGTCTCGATCCTCCAGTCCAAGCAAGAACAGGAAAACAGAGAACAGGTATTCTTGTGTTCCTGGCTCTAGAAATGTGTGAAAACTGCAGGTTTTGGTCCTTTCAATGTATGTTAATGGAGTCTTCAGACATAATTGCAGGCAGTGTTATAATTGTGCTCTACTGTAAAATGGTGGGAAGTCCATAAGTGGGAAGTCTGTACACAGAATAAGCAGGTTGGTGGTACTCTAGAAATAGTGAGAAGCTGGAATCACAAAACCTTTTGGAATAAGTGTGTGTTCTGTATTAGAATAACCCAAAGAAAAAGGTGTAAAGAGGTTTAATTGGCTAAAGTGAATTTTAAATTTATTGTCGTAAGTTAGCACATATTTGGTTTAGGTGCATTTTTCTCCTTTAAATTGGAAGCAAGTTGGGGTAATAAAAGCTGTGATAAGTGGGTTTTGTATTCACTGCAAGTCTGCATGTTACATTTGTGTTAAATAAGTAGTTTTTCCCAGGGAGAGGTGTTTTTGTGTTTCAGTACCATATGCTCAGGGGAGTGTTCACACTTTCATGGCAAGATGCCAGATCACTTTACCTTTCTCTAGAAATTCCACAATTTTAGTATCTCCTTTCTAAATGCTGACTTCAAGGAGGTGTAAAATAAACTGCAGAACCACTCACGTGTCAATTGTAAGTGTTCTGGAAATGAAGTCTGTGAAGAAATGAGAAGAACAGAGCCAAAGCACATAATAAGCAATGGATTCTACATTTCTGGTAGTTAGAGGAAATAGTTCCATGACATGGAAAGATTGTCTGGGAAGCAGTGTGTTTTGTGAGGTGTTTGAAAACATAAACCTGTACTGGTTGTTCACATTTCTGTTTCTGTCCAGCACATGTGTATCCTCCCCCTGAGAAAAGCTGTAAGTTTCTAAGAAACCTCTGCTCTTATCTTTCAGATCAAGATCTAAAGAAAAGACAGAAGGAGTAGAAGTTTCCAAAGAAAAGAAAAAAGACAAGGATGACAAGGAAGAAGAGAAGGATAAAGATGCTACCACAAATGCTGTGGCCACTGAGGTAGAGACTTTTAACACTTACAAGTTTAAAAGATAAAGAATTTAAACCAGGGAGTTTGTGGATGTCCAGTCTTCTACAGCATGCTCATGCAATGGTTATATTTGTTTGAAGAAGCACAGACTAAAGTCAGTGGCCATTAATTTTCACTGGTTGGTTTTTATCACAGAATTTTGATCAGAACAAACTTGAAGAAGAAATGAGAAAACGAAAGGAAAGGGTGGAGAAATGGAGGGAAGAACAACGCAAGAAGGCAATGGAAAACATAGGAGAGCTGAAAAAAGAAATTGAAGAGATGAAGCAGGGGAAAAAATGGAGTTTAGAAGATGATGATGGTATTTTAACCTTTTATATATAGCAGAATGCTTTTATTCCTAATAATATTTTTTTACATTATCTTTAAAGCATTAAATTATTCTTCAGAATGTAAACTGTAAAATAACAAAGCCTAAATCTGGTCATGCCTTCAAATGGTTTAAGATACATTTTTGATTAAACAACTGGAGAGATTTCTATGAAGAAAAATTAGATAGTAATAACACTGAACTGTAATTATTTGGGTAGACAAATAATTTGGCACATGTGAGCACTTTTGTGTTTCCCTGTATTTTATCCTCATCTTTCTTGCTCATATCAGATGATGAAGAGGAAACTGCAGAAGGAGAAAAAGAAGGCAATGAAGTTGAAGATGAAGAGTTAGATCCTTTGGATGCTTATATGGAAGAAGTAAAAGAAGAGGTCAAAAAGTTCAATATGAGAAGTGTGAAAGGTGGAGGTGGGAGTGAAAAGGTAAAATCACCAGTTGAGATTTCTAATTTTTCAAAGATAACTTTGTGTTTTAGTAGCAAAATGGGGAGAAATGCAAAAAAGCATGAAGTTAGATGCACTTAAAGCCTGTTTACTTTAAATTTAATTTCCTGGTGTTTTTATGAAGCTGTTTTCTCAAGCATTATTCTGATAAAATTTCACTGAGGGAAGTGGAAAAAAAGCTCAGCATAATGCCTTCAGAAGTACAAATATTCTATATGTTTTATGAGTATGGGGGTTTTTTTATGTAAAATGTAGTAACTTTCTTAACTGTTTTGTAGAAGTCTGGACCAACTGTTACCAAGGTGGTAACCGTGGTGACAACCAAAAAGGCAGCTGCAGAGTCAGAAAAGAAGAAAGGGGAGCTCATGGAGAATGACCAAGATGCAATGGAGGTAATGGACATGTCTTGTATTTCTACTGTGAAAACACAACGTGCCTCTCCTTTACTTCCTGAGGTTGTGTGTGGGCCTGAAGGGATGTTAAGGGTGTGGGCACGTGGCTGTCTAGCACAGGGAGGAGTACCTGTTTCTAAATAAAGTTCATGTGTAAATGAAAAACCATTCCTTCATACTGATGTACTCACAAATGGTGATCTCCACAGTATTCCTCAGAGGAGGAGGAGGTGGATCTTCAGACTGCCCTGACTGGCTATCAGACCAAGCAGAGAAAGCTGCTGGAACCAGTGGATCATGGAAAGATAGAATATGAACCTTTCAGGAAAAACTTCTACGTTGAAGTACCAGAACTGGCAAAAATGACTCCAGAAGGTAAAGACAAACACAACCAGCACACCTTGGGTACTGTTAAAGAAAAAAATGGTGGATTTCAAAGGAGCAGCAGATGGGTTTGGAATATAAAGAACATTTGAAGCAACTTGGTATAGAAGAATATTGAATCAGTTGCATCACTGTTGTTGATACTTATAATTATTGATGAGGCTTTGATTGGAGGATAATTTACGTGAGTCCTTTCCACCTGCCTCCTGTGTTTACATGTAACAAGCAAAAAACTTTTTCTGGTGGTGATAAAATTAGTATTTCATGTTAAGGGACGAAGCAAGAATTTTTTAATCAAGGTAGTAGAGAAGTGTCAGGTTTGACTCTATTGTAATGCAAACTCTTATTTCAGAGGTGAATGTGTACAGGCTGGAGTTGGAGGGAATTACAGTCAAGGGAAAAGGCTGCCCCAAACCAATAAAAACCTGGGTACAGTGTGGTATTTCCATGAAGATTCTCACTGCCCTCAAAAAGTAAGGAAGCATTTTGTGAACTATATTATGCTTGGTTTTGCTCACCGTGTTCTATGTTCATGAGAAAAACCTTTTTCTTTGTTGCATAATGCCACATGTCCATGTTTGTATATAGTCATCAGAGTGTTTATCACTCAGTGTTGAGTAATTGTTATTAACTATTCTCTGCCATTTGTATCATGGTTTTGCTGCTCATTTTAATTATTTTTTTGAATGGCTCTGATATGTATATATATTATATATAAATATGAATATGCAGAAAAATTTTACATGACTTGGTGATTCACATCTGTCAAATCCTATTTTGTTCTTTAAATACCTTTTTTTTTCCTTTCTTTAAGACATGGCTATGAAAAGCCCACTCCCATTCAGACCCAGGCTATCCCAGCAATCATGAATGGACGGGATTTGATTGGCATTGCTAAAACAGGAAGTGGAAAAACCATTGCATTTCTGTTGCCCATGTTCAGACACATTATGGATCAGAGAGCATTAGAAGAAGGAGAAGGTCCCATAGGTACAAAGATTTTGTTTTCAAAGTCACTGTTTAAATGAATACAACCTCAAGTATATGCTTTAGATGGTCTTCAGTTCTTCTCTTGGTTATAGGGAGAAGTGCTTACTACTGTCCATTAATTAGTATCTTTTTTTTAGTTAATGCTGTCTCATGTTTCAAGAGGACTCCCATGTCCATGTGAGACCTTACTTTGATTTTGGCACTTGGACCAGAATTCCACCCCATTCTCTTATTGTCTTATCTTTTTCTTGAAATTACATTCTTTAAAATAGGAAGTAAATTGCTGTAAACATCATTACAAAAGATTAATTTTTATTGTGTACATTGCAACAGCACCTGTGTTACAGTGTATGATGAAAGTGCTTTGCTTTTCAGCTGTCATTATGACACCCACTCGTGAGTTGGCTTTGCAGATTACCAAGGAGTGCAAGAAGTTCTCAAAGACACTTGGGCTTCGAGTTGTCTGTGTTTATGGAGGAACAGGAATCAGTGAACAGGTACACAAAACACATACCTTCCTTGTCAAAGAATTCTTGGACTTTATTAGTTAATGTTACTTTTGCAGTGAATTTAGATCCTTTCTCTCTCCCATAAATCCAGGACATTTGCAGCCTTCATTATGGACTTTCTCTGTGGCAATGGTAGTAAAGCATTTTCAAGTAACTTAGCCTTAAACATACTGATTTTGAAAATTCTCAGATATGATCCTTAAAAGTTTCAGACTTTCTTTTGATGTATATATTGAGCATGGCAGTAACAGTTAGTGGGATGTGATTGTTTGAAAGGGAAGCTATATTTTTGAGAGTTCCCCTCAAGATAACAAAAGCCAGAAAATGGTAACGTTGGTTTATTGCATTATCAAATGCTGCATGTTAGAGTAATTTAGATATTAATTTCAAGGGTTTCCACACCCCCACCCCACCCACCTGCTTATGGAAACAGGAGGAGTATCCATCTGTGATGGAACATGGTGTATTTAATATAATTTGTCCCTGCTAGAACACATAATATTTCTTACAGGCTCTTAACTGTATAGAAATCATATCCCCATTATAACTCTTTCAGGTGGTAACTTAGGCTGTCAGAGGTGACTCTTCTGGGAAGCCAAGTTTTCCAAAGACTTAAAGAAATTGCTGAGTAAAATCTTTATTACAGAATTGGTTTTCTTTTTTACAAGGTGATCCATGTTTAAAAAAAACAAATCACAAAGCAAAAAATTAATTAGTTTGTTTACTGTGTTTTAAAATCAGATAGCTGAACTCAAAAGAGGTGCTGAAATTATTGTTTGCACACCTGGACGTATGATTGACATGTTAGCAGCTAACAATGGTGAGTAGAAAACCTTTTCCTATGGAGAATTTTTTGTATTTGTTGTGTAATTCTTACAAATTCAAAAGATCATGTATTTTGATAAATGGTCTTATGGAATTTTCTTATATCTCTTCAGGCTGCACTATCTAGCTATTGAGAATATATAGCACTAATAATAGGTTTAAGCATATATTGGTTTGACTCTTTTTGGGAGGACAGGAAATACTACATTCTTGGAGAGTTTCTGAGAATGTTTATCATTGCTAAACTTAAAATGTGCTGGTCCAAATTTTTGAACTCCGAGTCCCTTAGGTAAAGGTTATATAACAGTTGGTTATTTTGTCTGCCCGTTGATCTGTTATTGTGTAAGTGTAGCTCAGCAGTTTCCCACTTTTACATAAGAGCATCTGACTCTGCCTTTATCTGTTGGTTTTAAAAAACAGAGAAGCCCTCCCTAAAAACCTGCTCAAAAGTAAGAGAACTGACCTTATATCAGATATTCACATTTATTAAACTGAGCCACTGCAGCTTTAAGAGGTTTTGTCCTAGTGTAACCATTGCATGCTTATTAGATAAAGTTTTATTATTAAATTATTCCACATCAAAACCTCTACTAAACTGTTGACATTATTTAACTTCTGTGGAAAAAGTACCTTCAAGACATATAGAACTGGGCTTCCAAGACTTAAATCGTCAAAGGTAGGTACATTAATGCTGTTCCCAAGTAATTTTACCAAGTTATTATTTGGGGATGAAAATGTTAAGATGTTAAATAGATATGTAGATTTTAAGAAATATTTATTTTGTTCCCTAAGTATGAATTCCATATCCTAAAAAATGCAGCGCTAAATGTCTTTAAAATAATGTGAGGATTCAGCTACAATTTGCTGAAGCTGAGAGGACCAAATTCTACTGTAGTTTGATAGGCACAAGTCTGAGTGATAGTTGTAGAAAATGTGACAAATCTGTTCCATTCTGAGAGCATTTGACAGTGTCACTCCACAACTGTGTGGAACTAAATGCGTTTATATCATTTGAGAGTAGGATTCTTAAATCCTTGAGTTAAATCCTTCTCATGAAAGGGAATCTCTTAGCTGTTTGTTTGGGAAGGGTGCTAATTATCCTGTCCATCATAATTCAAAATGTCCACCGATCCACAACTTATTGTATTTCCAGCTGTCCCAGAGTTTGGGGTGGTTCTTGATTTTAAATTCAGTAGTGTTACTGGGTAGGTTTTACTCTTTATATATTCATTTTGAAAGGACTGCTTACTCTGTTTTATGCATATTATTAGCAGTGATCTAGAACTAGTATGCTTATCCTCCAATAGTTACTCCTAGCTCCAAGGAAGCATTACAGATTGTGTATAAAGGAGTTTTCTGAGGCTGCAGCAGTTAGCACTGGGCTTTGCCTTCCACACATGCGCTGTAATCTCTAATATGTTCTTTTCTAGGTGCCGCTGTCAGATACTGGCTGATGTGGCTCCTTGCTTCAGCTCAGTCTTAGTTTTATGATGTGTTTTGGCGAGGGCAGTTTTCTGAATTTTACAGGTTCTTCTGGCCCTATGATGGTATGCAAGAGAAGAGTTTGACAAAATAAAAGGGCCTTGTGCATACTTACCCATTTGCCAGAATGTATGTGTGATTAAAGTGTGAACATTAAAATTCACGTTTAGTGAATTTTTTAAAAAATTAATTAATGTCTGTGTTAGAAGATAGCGAGACTATGTAACATTTAAAAAAAAAATATTCCTGAGGGAAACCAGATTTCCATTTGATTTTGTTTCCCATGTGTTTTTTCCTCTCCTTTCACAGGTCGGGTGACAAACCTCCGTAGAGTCACGTACGTTGTGCTTGATGAAGCAGACAGAATGTTTGACATGGGCTTTGAGCCTCAGGTAACTCAGGACAGGAGTGATGTGGCCACAAGATGCTGTTTTCCACTTGAAGGATTTCGCAGTGCTGCATTATTCTTACACTGCCAGTGGGTGTTCAAAAAGATGTGCTGCTGCACTTGGACAGCAGTTTAAACTGACTCTGTTATTTCTATTATCCTCACATCTATTATCCCATTACTGTAACATCATATATTATCCTCACATCTACAAGGTGTCCCTGCCCATGGCAGAGTTGGAACTGGATGATCCCTTCCAACCCAAACTGTTCTGTGATTCTATGTTTTGCTTTCAATAAGCTCTTGTATAGCTTAGATTTTTCTGTAATGTACAGGGTTTTTACATCCACATTTCTAATACTTGTGGCCATGTTGTAGCCCTGTGTAATCCCTTGATACAGGTGTTGTGTTAGCACTTATAAAATCTTTGGTGTCTCTTGGCAATGTCATGCAAGAGACAGGAACAGAATGTTGGAAATGCTGGTGACAAATCACTTACTGGGAGCTTTGGGCATCCTGGACTCTTTCAGTTGCTATAGGCTATGTTGTTCTCCAAAAGTGGGAACATTCCTTTATTTCTCTCTTGAGCTGTAGGGTTTCTGCTGCATTTCCTAAGATTCCTGCTGGGCTGTTGTCAGATTGTGTATTGGCACCCAACTTCCTTTTGAATCCAGCAAGTTTTCCTGTCTTCCAATGCCAGCAGCTCAATCCCACGAGGAAATCTGTAAAGACTGCTTTGTAGTCTGTGTAGTGCAGATATCACCTAACCCTGAAGCTGAGAGCTCTGTGTGTGTGAAGTTCAATCCCAGCACTTGGATACTAACAGGGAACGTTCTCCTCACGCAGGTTATGCGCATTGTAGACAACGTCAGGCCTGACCGTCAGACTGTCATGTTCTCTGCTACCTTCCCCAGAGCTATGGAGGCCCTGGCTCGGAGGATCCTCAGTAAACCCATTGAGGTGCAGGTTGGAGGCAGGAGTGTTGTCTGTTCTGATGTGGAGCAGCACGTTGTGAGTATCACACACCTGCCTTGCCTGTCTTCTCGTTTGCTTGTTCCCAGCAATATTGAATATAAACCAATATACCCACAGGGCTTTCATTTTATGAAGTTTAGTGATCTCATTAAACATGAACTCAGGATAAGTGAACACCCTGGTGTGCAAATGCAATGTGATCACTTTTTTTGTGAACCTGGTTTATATAGCCCTAAACAGCAGTTTGGCACTAACTGTGGAAACAGCCTGAAAAGGTCATCTCCTGTTCCGGTTTTTATTTTTATGCACCCTGAATGTGTTTAATGACACCAGATACAATTTATACTCTTTCTCCTTTGCTTTTTTATTTCTTTTTCCAGATTGTTATAGAAGAGGAGAACAAGTTTCTGAAGTTGCTGGAGCTGCTGGGACACTATCAGGAGAAAGGCTCCGTTATCATATTCGTAGATAAACAAGAACACGCTGATGGGTTGTTGAAAGATTTAATGAGAGCCTCTTACCCTTGCTTGTCTCTTCATGGAGGTAATCTGCAAATTTAAGGATTTATATTTGCTGCTCCAAACTAAAATGTTGGTATTCAGTAGCCAGAATTACTTAGGTCCTGTGTAATACCAATTACTATTTCTTCCTAAGCTGGTTTTGCTTTGTAATTGGGGAGGATAATTGTCTCTTAATTTGAAATAGACAGGATAGTTTTCTGTAATTACAAGTCATTGCTCCCTGTGAGATGTCATCAGATGCCAAATCTTATGTCTGTGCAACAGGACTATTACTGAGAGTTTACACCTCTTGAATATTGCTGAATGCCATTGGGGAGTATTATATGAAATTTTTATTTGAGATTCACAGTAATAGCAGCTGTTGCTTTACTTTTCTGCTATCAAGTAGTAATACAACAGCAAGAGGAGAAAAATCTCATTAGAATATTGTCCATCCCAGAACATCTTAAAACTTTCTATGTATAATGCTCTAAAAAAGCACAATCACAGTAAGTACAAAGAGGGAAAAATATTCCCCTTCTTCTGAAATTTCTGTTGCCTTTAGAGACCAATGCCTTCAGATGAGGTCTCAACTGAATATAAGTCATCAAATAGAAAATCATATCAAAAAACCTTTTGAGTATTCTGGTAAGGGGAAAACATCTTTTGGCAGCTGAAAAATGAAAAGTTTTCTTATTCTTGATAATAGAGATTTATTATTCTGGCTTCTGCATTTTGCCTGTGAATCTGTTGAAATTTTGTTTGCTTATGCTTTTGGTTGTTCGAAGTTGGAGGGTGTTTTGACCTGTGTATAAATTCTTTTGGCTTAAAGCAGAGCTTAATAATCAGCTGATCTGTCTGGTTTCTGGCAGGTATTGATCAGTATGACAGGGACAGCATCATCAATGATTTCAAGAATGGAACCTGCAAACTTCTGGTGGCCACATCTGTCGCAGCAAGAGGTTTGGATGTTAAACAGCTGATGCTGGTGGTCAACTACAGCTGCCCCAACCATTATGAGGATTATGTGCACCGAGCAGGCCGCACCGGACGGGCTGGCAATAAAGTAGGTATTACAGTGGTCTGGTTTGGTTAGTACTGACATTTCTCCCTTCTTTATTGCTTGATCAAGTTGTTCCCAAAGGATAGTTATTGGTGGAAAGAGTGTTTTCCTTTAATTATATTCTGAATTTTAGCACTGTGAAACTTGGAACTTACATGTCCTGATGTACGAGTGTTCTTTTAAATCCCATTTGTGGCTGAAACTTTGGATGTTTTTCACTGTTGGAAATGTGCCCTACTAAATTGATAGGATTTTCATTTTTCAAGCTTTTAACCATGACAAAATTGATTGAAAGGAAAGATTTCAGCATCTACCATCTTTGGGTGTTACCTCTGTATCAGCTCCCTGGGAAATCACATTATTCATTCTACATTTCCACTAAAAAAAGTTATTACTGACTATCATGGTTACTTTCACTGACCAGAACAACAGCATCTGTGCAAGGGTGCTTCAATAAATTTAAAGTGTCTTTAGAGCTTTTTCTTAATTGTCTTTTAAATTAACGTTGCCCAGGGCTATGCATACACATTCATTACTGAGGATCAGGCACGGTATGCTGGTGATATCATTAAAGCTTTGGAATTGTCCGGGAATCCAATTCCTCCTGATTTGGAGAAGCTCTGGGCTGACTTCAAAGACCAGCAGAAGGCTGTGAGTAATTCTTTATTCTGCAGTGGGCTTTGGTCTGGGTTTAATGTGTGTTTTGTGCACGTGGGTCCAGTTGACCAGGGTACAAACATGGGTCATCTCACTGGCTTCCCTGGGGACACGGGTGTGCCTGGCTAAGTGTGTGAGTGTCTTCAAGACTGGAGTCTTGAGGATCATTTACAGGACTGAGAATTTAAATATTGTCAGCTGATGTGTGATAGAGAAACACCTACGGTATAAGGGGCACTTGGACTTTTATACATACCAGATAATGAAGCTCTTTCACAGAATCTGTGTGATTATTTTTAGAGCTCTCACCATCAGAGGGTCTTGCTCATGCTACGAAGAGTGACTTTGGAATTTTTCTGATTTAAAAACTGGAGGGTTTTTTATACTGCATTTGAAAAGCATTTAAAATGTATATTTACAGAAAATCCCAATAGAGTATTTGTCTCTGTCTGCTGAATTAACGTCGCTTTTTATTACACTTCAGTGTAAAATGCAGTTTTTAAATTTGAAGAGCTTTTTGAATGTCTTAGGATTTGCTTTTTAAAAAACTTCAAAATTATTTGTGTAGTCTTTTAACTATCAGAACTGGGATTTTAAACTTCTCAGTATGAAAATATGTGTTTTTATTTTCAGGAGGGAAAGTTGATCAAAAAAAGCAGTGGATTCTCTGGCAAAGGCTTTAAATTTGATGAAACAGAACAAGCTTTGGCTAATGAAAGAAAGAAGCTACAAAAAGCAGCTCTTGGCCTGCAGGATTCAGATGATGAAGATACAGCTGTTGATGTAAGCACCTGGAAACAGGATTTAAGTTGCTTAAGGATTTTCAATACATTTGGGTTTTTTCTCCAGTAGATTACAGAACACATTTTGTTACTCTGTGACCTGTGTTACCAACTTTGTTAAATTCCATGGGTAGATCTGTAAGTATTCTTCGGTATAAAGAGACACAGCTATGAAGATCAAGATCTTCAAAGTCTCTTTCCAACTTTTTGGTATTTTACTATGTGTAGTTATTTAAATGTCAGATATAAATTATTTTATTTGTGATGTTAATCTCGCATAAATGAAACAGAACAATTGTCCTCAATTGCAAACATTTTTTTTCTGTGCAGTGTTTTAAAGACATTCATAGTACCCTTTTCTATTTCTAAACCATCTTAGGTTCCTTTCCTAATGTTTGTTGGACACCTTTTTGTGACCTTGCAAGTAAACACTGTGTTCAGACTTTTTCCTGATGATTAGATCATCTGTTCCTTTTGTTGAGTTGTAGTTTTGGACAGTGTTCTACCATTTATACAAGAATAATATCTTTAAAAGCATGTAAACTAAATGCCCCTTTCTTTAGGATGGTGGGATTATTTAGTGGTAAATGCAATGATCTAATAATTGTTATTTTCTTTAGATTGATGAACAAATCGAGAGCATGTTCAATTCAAAGAAAAGAGTAAAAGACATGGCAGCACCAGGAACTTCAAATGCTCCAACACCATCGGCTGGGAATGCAGAAAAACTGGAAATTGCTAAAAGATTGGCTTTGAGAATCAATGCCCAGAAGAATCTTGGGGCAGAGGCACAAGTAATGGTCCCCTTCCACTTCAAGGTCAGTCTCTTTACAGACCAATTTTTTTTCCTTTTTTTTAATAAAGGTTATTCACTTCTGTGTTCTGTGGCTGCCATTTTATTTAGTGTGTCTGCACACTGGTAACTTGCTGCTTTATTTATCTCATTTGTGCTGGGCTAACTCACTTATAGGATTTGTAAGTGAGCTAATATGATAAGACCTTGGTACAGAACTGTAAATGCTTTATCTGCCCTGGCAAAGAGTTAGTTCATTACTAATAACACTACACAGTTAGGTTTGTTGGCTTTGGCAGAGCTGCAGAACATCTTCCTCTGCTGAAACCTGTGAGATACAAATGGATTGAGGTTAATGTGTTCGGGAATGTCCAAAGATATTTTAAGATGAAGATACAAAGGATCTGTGAAATCTTTTCTATGCAGGTGTGAGGGGAGTTGTTTAGAGGAAGGAAAGAAGAACAGGAGGAGTCTAGAGAGTGTATTTGTTATGTAGACAATTATATTACATAGAGATCTTTAATGAAACCCTTGCTGGTTTATATAGAATTTTTTTTTTGCTACTTTGTGCTCAACACGGACCTGTGTTTTTACAGGATGTGATGCAGCAGGCTACAAATGCTATCCTGAGAGGAGGCACAATTCAAGCTCCTACTGTGTCTGCCAAGACCATTGCAGAGCAACTGGCTGAAAAAATCAATGCCAAGCTCAATTACGTACCCATAGAGAAGCAGGAAGAAGAAAAACAGGATGGAGGACAAAATGAATCCTTTAAGAGATATGAAGAAGAATTGGAGATCAATGACTTCCCACAGGCAAGTAACCATTTTGCTGTAATCAAGTGTAAATGACCATTATTTAACAAAACCTCTCTTTGTAGCTTAAATATGATTACACCAATAAAATATTTTGTCTGTATTTCTGATCATACCTATTGAAATAACTACATTATCTGTGATTACTTCTCAGCTTGTATATACACAGTGCTTTGGACTTATTCCAGAGAGTATCAGAAAAACAAGCATTCCTTATCAGACAGAAGTCTTTTTACCTTCTGCCACTGACTTCTCTTGTATCCAAATCTCTAACACTGCCTGGTGATTTTTGTAAAGGCTATACTGCTATGACTGATACAGCTCTTTGTTCTTTTTTAGTACTTGAGTATTTTTGCCATTCAGAATATTGCTGCTCTGACCTACCTCATCTGTTACACTGAGGATTTATGTTTCACAGTATTGAGCACAAATTCCCTGTATTTATATTTGAGGTTCTGCTCAGATTGGCAGAACTAAGGGATTGCCATTTTGTGTGGTGCCTTTCTCCTTGCTGATCCTGCCATATCCTTGCCTTGCAGACTGCCAGATGGAAAGTTACCTCCAAAGAAGCACTGCAGAGAATCAGTGAATATTCTGAAGCTGCTATTACAATCAGGGGAACTTACTTCCCTCCAGGCAAAGAACCCAAGGAAGGAGAAAGAAAGATTTATTTGGCTATAGAAAGTAAGTATTCTTTTAATAAATGTTGCCATTAAAGCTACGAGTCTGATTTTCAAATTAGACATGGCATCTCTGTAGTCAGTGTTTGGATACTGAGTTACAGACCACTGTATTTATTTTGCAATTACTAAAAAACCACTTGTTTATCTTCCTGCACTTTGTCATATGATCTGTGGGGATCACAGAGATGCTTCTCCTCACCTGCCACAGAACAACAGCAAACATGTATGGAATCAGTTTGGAGGAGAGGGAAAGAAAAGAGTAAAAAAAAAATAGAATAAGCACAGAGAGGTCTGTGCCAGCGTGAAATAAGGAAGAAAATAGAATTCTGTGGGTTTAAACTGTTAAAGGTATAAGAAATTGCATCAACTGCTACAAAGAAAACTTTGCAAATGTCGTGGTGGTTGAGTAGAATTTTTCTCAAAGAAATGTCTAATCCTGTGTATTTCTGAAAAGTATCATTTATGACTGTTTTAAGTATCTACCTTAAAACAGAACACAGTGGAGCTGTGGCAGACTAGAGTGCTCTTCAGCTGAGGATATTCAGCAAGTTTTGCTGTTCTTCTGAGAAGAGCCAGCAATGTAGGCCTCACATACAGAAAGTGTTTATGATTATAATACATATTTTTGTCTTCAGGTGCCAATGAACTGGCTGTACAGAAAGCAAAGGCAGAAATCACACGACTTATAAAAGAGGAGCTCATCAGATTGGTGAGTCAAATATCCAGAATGCCAAGGGAAAATGCCTTAATTTGTGCTTTTTAGGATTGACTTGTGCAAATGTTTGTGCTCTGGCGTATGTTTTTATTCGTGTCAGGGACTGGGACCTACAGATCTCAAACACCCCTTTTCATTGAGCAGCCTCAAAATCTGTGGCTGTGTTTAATCAGCCAGAACACGGCTGTTATCCAGCCAGCAGATGGAGATAACACATTGACAGAGCTTTTTGAATGAAGACCCCTCAAAGAGTTGGGTCCCAAGAAATTTCCTAATTTCAGCACCTTCAGGCAGGGGAGAGGAGAATTATTCCTCTCAATTTAATATTTTACATGTGTCGAGAGATCTGTTTTGCTGTAGCTTTGCAGCATACCCAACTGCTAATCTAGTGGGGGTTTATTGCAATTCATTGTCCATTTTCACTTTTAACTGTGATTCTCCTCTCCTTTATTTGCAGCAAAATTCTTACCAACCAACCAACAAAGGAAGATACAAAGTTCTATGAGTATTTGGAGTTCTCTGTCTGTCAGCAGCTGGTGCGTGAAACTTTGTGGCTTCTGTTGTTTTTGCTGTTTACATTGCTTATTGTAAATTAAGAATTTTTTTTTTTTTATTTTGTCCTGAGGACGTTTTTTAACAGAAAATTGATCCTTGCTGAAACATCTTAATTCTCTCCACTGAAGTTATCAGTCTTAAAGCAGACCAGTTTGGGCGGAACGTGATTTAATTTAAAAGTGCATTTTATATACTTTTCATCAGAAGGAATATTAAATAAACAGATTTTAATTTTTATGACAGACAGTATGCTGTTAAGTAAATTAAACAGTGTTGGGATTTGTGTTGGGAATTGTTAGAATGTACCTGCTTCATTTTGTTGGGATGGTTCATGCCATATCAATTTATACTGGAAAAATGATAAAACACCAAAATAAAGGCAGGATTTTTCTCCTGATCCATAGATCTCTCTGGCTGGTTCCACACACATTACTTCCCTGTACAAATGTCCCCCTAAGGTCAGAGAGTCTTGCAATGATTAAAGAATCTTATGCAGAAATACTTGAGGTCTTGTTTTAAGATCTTCTTATCCCTCTCATGTCCCATTTTGTCTTTCTCATACATACTAAAATAACTCTCTGGGTTTTTTGTAAAGTGAAATGTTTTGTAGTATGACCGTAGTTTTCCTGTTTTTTTCTAAACATGAGAATTTTAGGAGTTGATTTTTTTTTTCTTCCTTCTGTGACATAAGAATGAAAGCCTGATTAAGTTTAAAAAGAAATTTGCAGGAAAAAGAGAGAAACCTCTTTTTTAATGAAATACAACTTTGTCACTCTTTTATAGTGTTCTTATATATATGTTTAATGTGATTATTCCCCTGGGATTGTCATCTTTATTGCTGTTAGGACGTGGCTTTAAGTAAAAATGAATAATGATATTTATGAATGAATTCCACAGATATTGACTATCATTGCAGTCAATAAGCTACTGGGACAGGCAAGACCTTTCTTTTTGAGGTCTCATCCCCATAAGCATTAGTATTCGTGGTGGACAGTACTTGTCTGGAGAAGAAGCAGTAGCAATTTGAATTGTCTCATTCTAGCAGCTGCAAGACTTTCAAGATGATGATTTTCGAAAGGACTTTTGTAGAAAGCTTTTCTTAACTGACACATGGAGAAGAAATGTGTCATTTTAAACCAGCTGTGTATATACTGCTTTAACCCTGGTGAAGACAAATCATACAATCTGCATCGTGGCTGTATAAATTCACAGCTTCTCTTTCCAGACTTCAGGTAATTCAAGTGACTCTTTCTGCCTACAGCTGTCTGTAACCCTGTCAGTGCACCTTATCTGCAATATAGGAAAGGAAAGGAATGATTATACCAGCTTTACAGTCTACATTTAGGATGAGAACACCCCTAATGTAGTACTTGCCAATATTAATACATGGAGTAGAGCAAGAGGAGCAGCACACACAGTAGCACTTCTCAAAACTTAAAATAGAAAGCTCAAACTAAAGCCCTGTGATGCCCTTTAGATACATCAGGTTTCCTTCCCTTAAGAGCTGGGGTTTGATGTGTTTCATACCACTTGTTCTTTGAATTGTCTTAACTTTTAGACAGTGTCCCTTCCCAGAAGAGCGACAGATTTTGGTGTATTTAATGAAGAGCACTTGCAAGTTTGGACAGCCTGACACTTCTTTAAAAATCTTGTTTCAAAATGTTCATACATATATTGGTATCTCCTAAAAAAAGCATGGTGGAGACATTTTTGTTGAATTTCAGAGATGCAACAATGTATAATCTTTAACTTCCTGGGGTTTTTAAATGCAATGTCAATATTCTTATGTTTTTTAAATTCCAGCAAAAATAAAAAATAATTTCAATGTATATTTTTCAGAAACTGTCTTTCTGAATAGCTCCTCTGTTTTCTGCACTTGCACTGCTTGTGTGTTTTTTCCTCAGACAGTTAGACTGTTTGGAGTAGGGTGATGTGAACAGCAGTTTGTGCTTTTGTTTTTCTTCTGGAAATGGGACAAAGCTCACACTCAGTTAAGAAAGTCACAGTGAAGATCTTTGGATACATGAAAGCAGGAGGAAAATGCATATAAGCCAGAGGAAAAGAAACTCTCAAATTAACGAATACACAGGGAAAAAGTAGTGGAAACAAGATGAGAATAGAAGTTTGGAGGAGATACAACAAAGTGATGAAAAACACTATATTTAGTTCTTCACAAGTGTGTCCATGGATATAGACAAGATCTTTGTAAACATCCCAGTTTGGCAGCTCTCCAGGGAATCTGCCCTGGTTGGCTTCCTGTTGTCAGAAGAGCACAGGGATGCTGTATTTGTTGGGTTTTTTTCTTTTCAAATATACATAAGCAGAGCTTGTTCTGTCCCCTGCCCCAGGTGATCCACTGCCAGCTTTCAAGGTTGCTTTACTCTTTCAGTGTGTGAGTAAACAGTGGTATTTTGGGTGGATAAGTGATATGGGTATTTGGTACTGGGTCCTGAATGAGCTCTTGGTTGCATGTCACAGCAATGTGATAGGAGGGAGAGCGAGACCCCTGATCACAGCTCCTTCATCCATGTGCAAGTGGCCCACCAGGGATGCACACAGCAATAATCCCCACCACGCTGTGAAGGGTTAATTCCCTACCTAGGAAAACAGGAGAGACTAAATCCAGTGTTTTGTGGGGGGGAGAAAATCCACAGCAAGATGAAAAGTGCCTGCAATTGCAATTCAGAATTTTATACTCCCTGAACTACCTGGTACGTTGTTGCCACCCTTTGTTTCATTAAACAGGCAGCTCAAGGCCTACTTTGCTGTTAGGTTTTATGCTATAAAAGTTGTAACCAAAATGTAATGAGTGTAGATCACCAGCCAGGCATGTTCCGTAGCTTTTCCCTGTGCTGGCTGTCGGAGATTTTACTTGCACACTTAAAGCAGTGCAATCTATTTAAATGTGCATTTGGCTGCTAATTGAATAAAAGATTCAGAGGCTCAAAGTGCCATCTGTAGGGGCTTTTATGCCTCAAGTCTTCCAAGTGGAAGACAGAAAAAAATAAAGATTTATTTAAGCAAAGTTTTGCTGAAATTCTGCAATTGAAACAGCCGAATATAAAACAAACCCCAAAGGCTGGATTGGGGATCTTCCTAAAATAAGAAAAAGAATGCTGGAGTTGAGGGAGCACTTTGGTATTTCAGTCCTTCAGGCTTGTGTACAGTTGTAAGAAGTGGTTACTTCAGCAAAACTATTGACAGGGTTGGAGACAGGTACCTGTGTCTGTGAGGGTGGAGACTTGCCAGAGATAGTTTTTAGCTTTCTGCTGTGGGCATAACACTGTCAGTGGCTGTTGAACCCCACCTTGCCGAGAACCTAAATTGGCTGGAGAGGCGGTTCCCAGGGTGAAGGTGGTGTAAAACCAGCCCTTGGTGGTGTAAAACCAGCCCTTGCCAGCGAGTTCCCGTGAGGGTCCCGCGCAGCCCCTCCGCTCCCCCGAGCGTGGGCGCCGGGCCCTGTGCGCGTTCTGGCCTCCTCACGTGATGCCCCAGGAATGCACTTTCCTTTGATTATTTTCCTTGACCCAGATCTCTTCCAAATATGGTCTCAGCTTAAACAAGTTTGTGTTCCTAGAGCTCGGGCGTTTGCAGAATAAATCCTGGCTTCCAGCTAACTGTGCTGTATGGAGGAGTGGAGGCGGAGAGCAGCCTAAAAATGCGAAGATAAAAGGGGCACAGCTGGACTCAAATTTGTCCCAAAATGTACATTTTGTACAATGTTTATACAGTGCTAGGCAGGAAGATTTGTTTTCATAGTTTTAGCTACAGTGGAAACAATTGTTTTTAAATAAATGACCATTAGGCTGAGTGATTGCCACCCAAACATTGCTTCTCTGAGACTTCTCATCTGAAACAGATTTAAATATTTTTCTTTCGTCAAACTGAGAGATACAAAATTGTCAAGCTGACCAACTAACATCTCAGAACTGACTACGAAATTATTAATCACCTACTGTGGAGTGAGCATATGATTAAGTTATTTTATACTTTGGCCATTCTAAGTACGAAGTTCGTCATCACAAACGTTTCTCAAAGCAATAAATACCACTGGGCAACTGCTCTGAAATAAACTGCCCAGCAAGGAAAATGTTACACTGCAAGTTAAGATTAAGGGTTTTCATTAAAACCTACATTTTTTTTGCCTGTATGAGTTAGCGAGGATACCAAAAAGGTATCGAACTGAACTGTTCTTCCTTGGCAGCAACATTTCCAACAGGAGTTTAAACAGCAGAAAGATGAGCTTTGTAAATAAACTGAATCATTTGCTAAATTAAGCTAAATAAATGCTGCTTTTCCCTGCTGCTTTCTTATATTGCAAGTGAGGATTCCTGCATGTGTTAGGAAGCACTGGCAAAAATATGAAACATCATCTTGGCAGGATGTTTCACAGCAATTTTCGACCTGAATAACTCCAAGTACTGTAGAAATGGAATATCACAGTGTTGGAATACAGTAGTTGGCTCCCCAAACAACAGCAGGAGAGGAAAATAGTTAGAAAAACAGAATTAGCCATTTGTAAAAGCTGCAGATTCTTTTCTTTTCTTGGTCTTTTTTTGCTTTTATTTTCCGAAACCTCATCTGAATAACACAGAACATCTTTCAGGCTCTCTCGTATGTCAGTGATTTAAGGACTGATATGTTCATTTAGATCCTGTGGTTTGAAGATGTGTTGTTGCTGAATGTCAGTGGCCCAAGGGTGCTAACAGAGGGCAGGAAGGCATAAGGATAAAAAAATGTATTGGTCCCAGCCCTCCACAAAGCAGGCTGTCAGGTTGTTTCACGAAAACTTGACCTTGGGGACAAAATGTTACATGGTGAAATGTGTTGGGCACTTAAAATTCCTGTTTCTATGGGATCTCTTTGGAAACAGTTGAAGTTGCTGTTCCCGCTTGAAGGTATGAAGTGTCATTTATAGTGCTATTGCAATACTGAACTCTTCAGAACATGGGGGAAACAGAGCAAAATATTTAACAACCAAAATGAGAAATATTTAATGTCCCACACTGTAAGACGCCAGGGGCTGATGGTCTGTGCATGGACCCAACCCTGTGTGAGCTGTGTTGGAAATGGTGCCGTTCTCACTGCAAAGTCATCAGGGAAAGAGAACTAATTTAATACATTAATCTAATAGTCCTAAAGCTGAACTATTCCGTAATGCGCTCTGTGTGCGGTGGAGGTGGTGGAGTTACCATCCCAGGTGTCTAAGGAAGGACTGGACGTGGCACTCCATGCCATGGTCTAGTTGACATGGTTGTGTTGGGTCATGGGTTGGACTCGATGATCTCAGATTGATTAGGTTGATTGCTTAGATTGAATCTGATCGATTAGATTGACTCTGATTGACTTTGTG